CACACACACACACACACACACACACACACACACACACACACACGCAGGCGAGCCCACACACACCCACACACCGACAACCCCACACACACATGACTGTAGGCGGTCCTCGTTGCGGGGACTGGGTTACTTCACATGGGTCGGACACCCTTTCTGTGTCAGAACTAGAACAGCATCCGCGGTTTGTGGTTTCCAATACTTGTCTCCACACAAGGGATGGCACTCTGTGCCATCAGGTGGTAGGTATCCCTATGGGCACTAACGCCGGACCAGAAATTGGCAAGCTTACCCTCTATAGGGAGGAAGCACAGTTTGTCGATGAACTTCGTCTGGTATCTGGGCGCTGCGCGAGAACATGCATTGACATATTGATTCATTGATGACATCTTATCTTGGAGGACATCACCGCCCCCTCCTGCTCAATATGGTCTTGAGTGGAAAGACACTACTGAGCAAGATGGGCCATGTCTTTTCCTTGGGGCAAGAATCCTGGTTCAACCAGAAGTTTCACTTCGCATTGGCGTGTTTGATAAGGCTGAGGCCAGAACATTCCCTGTCATATGCTACCGTGGTGCTTCCTCTGATGCCCCAGCTCATCAGTTGCAGGTGTGCTCACAGGGCAGCTAACACGATTTAAACATATCTGTAACAATACCGCCGACTTTTAAAGCTGCAGTGATTTCTCTGACACAACGAATGCTTATTAGGGGCCATCCCCCCAGTGTCCTGGCTAGAGGCTGGAGTGCATATGTGCACTGCTGGCAGCGCTGGGTACCAACTGATGTTATACGGCTTTCAAACTGGTTTCGCTGCATGGTACGCTGGGCAATTGCTCACCCACTCCTGGATGCTAAGTCTGTGCGCAGGTCTTCCATAAGGCCACTTCCTGCAGCCCAACACCGATTTTGACCATAGGCATCATCAGCCCTCCACACAACCAAACGCGGTGGACCTGCCAAAATGCCAGATGCTAATGTGGATACACCAACCCGGCAGGAGACCAGGCTAGCCGCAATAAATTTGGCCAAAGTGGCTGCAAGGGAGGATGGCTAGCATCCTATCAATACGGTGGCAGCAGCTGAAAGTATACCGCTTCCATCGCAGCCATCGCTACCACTGCCACCACCACCACCCCTCCGGTTCCCCAACTGAATATCTCTCTCTCCGGAACACATACTAGAGCCAATTGGTCAAAGACTACAATGAGTCTCCACCACCTGTGCAATCTGCAGAATTGAACGAATCTCCCCCTGCCACGCAACCTGCGGAATTAGATGATGTGATGGCGCTACAGCAAGGCCGCTGTGCGTGTTATGCCATTACTGTATGTCTCGTTGCTTACAATTGTAACCCTTATACTGCTTCTGATTTCGCGAGGACGCTGTGCGTGCTATGCCATTACTGTATGTCTCCTGCTACTGAGTGTCGAGACTTGTCTTTCTCGACACTCAGCATGCGCACAAAGCAGATGACGATCAAGCTGGCGACTTGCACCCACACAAAGCGCAGAGATAATGAAGCCAAGAACGCAGCTCAGATTCAAACTTGTCTTGGTCGGCTATGGCCGACCTCTGTACTCTCAGCAACTTGTTCGTACACACACCCTGGATCTCCCTGGCTGTCCCGCACACACACAC